TGACATTAAAAAAACTTGAATCTTTCTCTTCGTTGAGCCTGTTAATGGTTGAACTTGCTGCAGTAATACTCAGCTCTGTGCAAACAGCCCCTTTCAAGCACTGCTGCACTCATCTTATAGAAGGTTTTGAAGCATATGTTGCATAAGTTGCATCAGAGATGTAATCATCGATTCAGTAAAATCATTTCATGATTAGTCACTTTTCTAATTCTGGAGTCAAATATTTTATAAACCATAGGCACAGTGGAAACCATGTGTTTACATACAGAAGACTTAACTTTTTTGGTCTTGGAGGACTCAATAATGACTCCTCTCACAGCTTAAGCCTGGATCTGCTTTTCTTATGGAGCGATTAAATTTATTTCTAAATTAAATGTGTCCATCAATGGCAAAGAGACCTCATCTCTTTCAGGAAAAAAAATTATCATGGTTACAAATTATCATGGTGTTTAAACATTCATACAATAAAAAATAAATAAATAAATAAATAAAAAAAGAAGATTTTGGCAATTTCATGCTTCTGGATATTATACCATAGGATGAACCAGACTGAGTTTTTTATATTATTAATTATTATTATTATTTAAATATTTTGTTTTCAAGAGTTCCAACCTTTAACTTAAATGTTGGGAATTAACTGATCAGAAGCTTACAAAAGTTTGACATTTTCATCTGGGCTTTGCTAAAACTATAAAAAAAAGTAATCTTAGCAAATGTATGCCACAGCTTTTGAAGAAAAAAACAACAGATTTGCAACAATAAATCCAATCACTCTAACATTTAGCAAGCAGTATAATAGTTCTGGTCATCACAACTGACCTAAAACTGGGAAATTCTGGTTTGATTTTACAGACCGTGAGAAAAATGTTTCTTTTGACAAACTGCACATTTAAGAAAGACTGAATAAAAACATTGGATAAGTAAAATATTAGTTAAAATATAATTTAAAATGACTATCCAAAATAAAGATTCAATCACCTTTGAATAACAAATTAAATGACTAATTAACCACTACATGGTTATTTTTGTGTAATACAAACCCCCCTTTTCTCATATTCGCATTATCTAATTAAAACAAATACATAAAATAGTTTAGTCTGTTTATATAACCCAAATTACCACCTCACTGATAGTTTGGTTTATCTTCTGTTTGCTATGTAATCCATTTGCACACAGGATGTATTTAAACAGTACAACATGTTGACACACCATCGTTTTTTTTTTCTCTTTTCTGCAATCACTATTGCCGACCCAAACATCCAAGAGGAAAGATAAACACCGTCATCAAGTAAAAAATTGACTTGATTTAACCTCTTCTCTAAAGCCACACATGTAAAACATAAGGTCACACCCACTCCCAGAGATCAAGCCAATAGGAAGCGGGGTAAGGGTGAGCAAAGGACTGTTCTTATCTTGATATAAGTCCTGCAAGAGATCATGCCCTCATCTACAGAGCCTGAATGCTTGGATGACAAAGCAGCTGCAGAAGTCACGCAGAGAGATAAACAATAAGAAAAGGGCTTTTAAAAAAGGGGCTTCCAGCTGTTTTACAACAATTTAAAAAAAGGAAAACTTCTGGTCGTCCATGAGACAGTGACATTGCAAGTGAGTACATCATTAAGAAGTTTATTTTCCAAGATTATCTTGTTTTACTTTTTCCAGATTTAGGTCATTGTGGTCTTAAAGAAAGCAAATCAAAGGAGGAACTATTACTCTGACTGCCACACTGAACCAGTCTTCATCATTGTTTAACATTTTTACCTGACACCTTGTTTATCTCAGAATTTTAAATAATGGCAATAAATTATGCCTTTGAACCTAGAGGCTAATAAAATGACACACTAAAATGCTTGATTTCTCAACCTCTGACTATAATGAATAATAGCACCGTTATTAATCTTCCCTTAGGAATGCTGTTGTCAAGGTCAGAATCAAGACCAGAGATAAAAACTAACAGCTCTGAAGCCAAATGTTTCTGTTGCTGCGATACACATACACACAAATATATATATATATATATATATATATATCTATATATAGATAGATATATAGATATATCTATCTATATATATATAAGACATTTTTAACCATATATATGGTTAAAAATGTGTTTTATTTTAATCGCTGCATGCTCCACACCTTGTTTAAATGTTCTTTGTTATCCCTTATTAAAAAGACAGGATCTACTCGTGGATTTATTTACTGAGCTGCAGCAGGGTGCTGTTTTGTCAGGTGGTAAAAGAAGCAGAGCAGTGATTAGAGACGGACAGAAAAACAGCTTTAAAAAGCTGCTTCGACTGATATTCTGAGCTGACAATTGGATAATTTTTTTTGCTTGGTCCCTATAGACCCTCTATATGATTGCAGCAGTGATCAGGAGTTGATAAAAAAAAATTTTTAAGCTGTCTGTGAGGGGGGAAATACCTTACTAAAGTAATATAGTTCATTGAAAAGGAGCATTATTTGTCTGTGATTTCTTCTGTCGTATAAAAATGTCAGAGAAGATTTATAAGGCACGTTTAAAAAGGAGTGTAATGTTTCGGCGTCTTCAAAGAGAACATTTCTGAGCAGTCCATCAGCTCAATGGTAGTGTTCATACAGAGCATGATTTAAACATGGTAAAAATGGGAATACAAATGTATTTCCTGATTAAACTACTCTGTAGTTTCTTTAAAGTATACAAAGAAATTAGTCCTCCTTGGTTTACATCATATCAGTTCCTGCATTGCCTCAGGAAGTCCAAATCAAAGCACATACCAGTGTGGTGATGGCCCAAGCTGATTACATGTCAGAGAGCTTTATGGTTTCTGACACATGGCCTGTGCTGCTGCTGCTTAACATAAAACCATTTCTAACCTTGTTACCCTAAATAGCGTATAACTAATCACAAGTTTTATTCATGGGATTCTTGCATGTGCCAATCACTTGATCAAGGGAGCTTTGGCAATTTGTAGGATTTAAGGGTTGTAAAATAAAAAAATAAAATAAAAAAAGCTCTCCTCGTTAAAACATTTTCTGTTAAAACCCTCAAAACCAACAAGGAGACAAAATGCTAAGCAAATAAATGTCTCACAGATATTTTACTAACAGCCGACTGAAAGTTTTACCAAAACCAGTGTTACATTTGGCAGTTTTTTTTTTGTTTTTTTTTTAAGTGACTTCCATCCAGAACCAGAATTTATTTTCATTTTGGTAAACCTTTTGTTTCTCCACAGGTTTGATATTTTAGCCTTATTTGCTTACATACAAGCTGATTCTGAATTAGACAAATCATACCTCCTAGCACCTTACTCTAGCTCCTATTTCTTTACCTTTTATGAGATGAACAGTAAGAACACTATTATGGGTAGGAAAGGAAATTTGGACTGCTGTGCCAAATCTGAAGAGCCTTTAGCTTTGAGAATGTCATTATGGCTCAGAAACACATACAGATTTAAAAAAGTCTAAGAGCTTTCTAAAGAAAAGAGCTTTCTAAAAAAAAATGACACAAATGTAGCAAATGACTGAAGCTTGCCATTATAAAACTCAAAAAATGCAAAGATATGTACATTTGCATTTGTCACACAAAGCACATTTAAAAGAATGGTTTACTTTTTCAGCTCAGTGAGGTGCACTGTACGTATATTACCTGTCTGGATTATAAATACTGCATATTTGCACCATTTATATTTAATGCTCTGAACCTCCATAACAATGCGTTTTTTTGCACCATCTTTTTTTCTCACACTCTTTGCATTTGATCACCGCTGCACTTTATGGAATGGAAATGTTCTGAAAGCTGTACAAAACGATACACTTTGTGTGTACAAAATGACAATAAAAGTTTCTAAGTATCTAAGTCTAAGTCAGTCGTGCAAAGGATTGTGGGCAACTGTATAGCTCCTTTGAAGTGGTAAGGAAAATAAGGAAGTCTGTATGCTACATGAAATATTAATAAAAAGCATCCTCCCGCTTTTCCTACCTCCTTCCTCACAGCCACTATTCAGACAGCACTTATCATGGTATCTGCTGACGAACTTCAGCTTTGGCTTTTTTGCACCAGTCTCACTATAGCTTAACTAGGATGAGTTTTTGTTTATCATTATCTCACTGTCAAAAGCACCTAATCTTATAGCAAAAATGTTATGTTGAGCTAAAAGCTTCTAAAACCAATTTAGAAAAAAAGACATTTCTTAGTTAACTTGGCTTTTAGTTTGCTATGTTTAGAGCCAACCAACAACAACAATGCTTAATCATCCCAATAACTGAATATCTGAAAGTATTATTTATATATTTTTTATTATTAAGTGAATGCATGTCTATATTAATCATATAATATGCATGCATCAACAGAGCCAGGTTTAACTCAATTAAAGTAACTGATTGAAAAATTGCATGTTTTTGATGTGCGTACTAGTGTTTATAAGCACTTCTTAGCTCCGTTGCCTGTTGCTTCTCCAAGGGATCCAGTTTAAAACAGCGTGTGTAAACCCCTATCTGAACAGTGTTTATAAACCCTGTTTTTACTTAATAAGCAATTTCTGTTTGCAAGTCCTGAAATCCCGTGTGCAAATTGTGTTAGCTGTTGTGTTAACAAGCAACACTTAGGAAAGGTAGTTTTACTACCAGCTTTGATGTTTTAATAAACCCTAAATCAAACTTGCGTAACACCTGACAGCAGCAGGATTTATAAACACTGTGTGGTTGTTATTACAACTGCTGCTATCTATGACAACTGACAGAAAAGGCTTATTGCAAGAGTATTTTTTAATACTTTCAAAGTATTAAAAAATACTCTTGAAATGCTGATTCCCATTGTGCGGAGCAGCAACAACAACTGTTATTATTCATTTTTAGGTTAATATGAACCAAACTACAGTCTCTTTTTAAATAAGGTTATTTTGGTGACGTAAGAAACTGTAGTGTCTGAACCTCACAGGTAATAAAAGAAAAGAAGGGCTTGTTATGCGTTTTCAGAATCATGATTCACCAGTTATTCTGTGATGTTAAAATCATCTAAAAATAGTTTCAATGTAGTTCATTTGGACATTGGTAGAAAATACCACAGAGGCTACTTTACAAGAGCAGCAGAGGAAAGTTCAGACAAATACCAAAATGATGTGAATACCTTAATGTTTATCAGTTCAGTAATGAGCAGTTTTTCTATTTGGGGCATAAAGCCAGACAGTGCCACCCACAGCTGCTTTTCAGTTTGTATTTCTATCCATTTTTAGTTCTGACTTCTTGGCCAGCATTTTTTTTTTTAGGGTTGCTTTGCAGTCCTTATATAGATATTCTGTTAGTTTTCTCATTGCTTTTGCATACTTGTTTTTAACTCAGCCCAAACCTAGATATCAAAACAAAGAATGTCAGCACAGAGTACAGCATCTTTAGTTTGCTTTAAACAATATAAAAAAAATCCTCAAAATGGCAAAAAAGGACTTTATATTCACGGATGATTTGAGTACTTTTATATATCCCTCAATGGGTCTAGCCTAGGAAGATGGAGAAGTCTTTCTACTTATCAGTGATACTAACTTCTATTCACATAAAGCAATTTAAGTCTTTGCTCACCCTTGGTCTTTTGTCTTTCACCAAGGATACGACTGCACAGTTAATGTGTAATCCTGATTGAATCTTAACCTTGGGGGGGTTTTACCGTATGAATTGGCATAAAATATTTAGATAAATGATATAAGACAGTGACTCACTACATTTTCAGAAAATGCTTGTTTTCAAACAATGTGAAGTATGTAAAACATCCTCTGGGGTTTTGTTTCGGTTTTTAATGTCAGAGGAGTTTGGATTTAAAGTGTTTTGAAATGTTTGGGGTGGAGTTCGTAATTTAACCCATCATAATTTTTGATTGGAGTTGAATGTGGTCAAAGGTGGCGTGGATATACAGTTTAGCTTGAAATGATTTACCATTAAACTCTGACATAGAATTACCTTTACTATATCAGCAACCTTTGGTAGGAAAAAAATGACTGGATTTTATTTACATTTTTAACAAAAAGTAACGTGCAGAATTATTATTGCCCTTTTATAAACTTCTCCATTTGGGGAGAAATCCAATGTTTTATAAGATTGCAATTAGTCCAAGCTATTTTAAAGCATCCTAATTATCTAGATTTATTGGGAACAGCTGATTTAGTTAACAGATGAAAAACTCTTTGCAGTTGATTTATGGACAATCATAGCTGAGACAGACGAGCTGAGGACCTGGGATTGTGCATTATGGGTGCTCACTAATCAAGAAAATGCTACAAGTTCAAATCTAAATGTTTTCAAGTTGGTTGCAGTGCAAAGTATTCTAAAAAGCTAAAAAACAAGATGTTCAGTGAAGTGGAAAATCTATGAGGGGCCGTTCAGAAGACAAAAGTTACACCTCTGCTGGTGAAGAGAATAGTGAAAGAGGTGAAGCATGATCCAAAGATCACAACCACAGCCATGCTGTAGTGAACTGGGCATTAGTGGTGGCAGCGTCTTAAGGCAGCAATCCAATGATTGCAGCACACTCCTGTGTTCCACGGCTGCAGAGCATAGAGGACACATCTTCTAGAGGAGGCACACCTGCATGGCCTTTGTAAACACTTATCTGTGCAAAGAAGACAAATTCTGATATAAGTTTTTATAATCAGATGAAACAAACATTTAATGTTTTGACCACAATGCTTTATCTTTAATTTTATAGAGGCCTTTAACTCTAAGAACAATCATCCCAACTGTCATGCATGGTGTTTGGAACTTAATAATTTCAAGGATTTTCAGCCAGTACTCTGCAGCAATCCATCAGAAATGGTCAGTCTGCAGAGAAAGACTTCCATGTTCACCACTAGCGAACATATTAATGTGACAACAACCCAAAATGTTGAGGAAATCACTAGCAGAACAAAATATTAACCTTTTGCATTGGTCCAGCCAGGGTCCTGACAAATACAATAAGGGGTGGGGTGGGGGGGTTGGATTCAGGGTCAGAGACCAGGGTAAAAATACCAACTATATATATCATGCTTAATATAGATACAGAAAGCAAAGGCCTTTTAATGATCGTTAAAATACCACATGTATAAATGAAATTAAAATTGGAAGATATTCTTTATCTGCTTCAAGGTCTCTTGTGCATTGTTTTATCTTCTGGGGAACATGTGTTTCATTTCAGATTAAAGAGAAACATTTTGTTTAAATAAAAGTAACCTGAACTTAAAATGTTCCAGGTGTCTGAAAAATCCCAGACTTAACTGTACTGTGTCCTCACCTCTTCATTATTTATGCTTAAACTGAACTGCTATTTCCACCACTGTCTCTTGGATGGATGTAATATGTTTGTGCATTTTTGTCATCTTATACCAGCCTGCTGTTTTATCTTTGTGCTTTGGATATTTGGTCCACACTAGTGCTACTGCCTGGGATCCAACTGTAAATCTAACAGAAGCTTTTGCAATAAACTACCAGCAGATCAGCAATTTCTCACACAGTCACACCTGCCCATTTGCCCACATCAGCCTCCTAACGATCATGTTTCAAAGTCAACTAAACTCCCTTTTTCATTCTGATCTTGGATTTGAACTCAGATTGGCTACAGTTCTTTCAAATACCTAAATCAACATAGTTGCTTCTATTTTATTAGCCAATGTGCAGTAACAAGCAACAGAACAGGTGTACCTATCAAAGTGGCCAATGCATGTATGGTTTTATAGGATAAAATGCACTTAAGACCAAGTGTAAAGATAATGTAAACAGATATACTATGGTAGGAATCTATCATTAATCCTGTGTTTCTGTGTCAATTCTTTATTTTTGCTCTAGAAGCACAGCTGACAGCCTCTGGACCTTCTCCTGCCTCTCCCCGCACTGCCTCCTCCTCCTCTTCGTCAGGACCATGGAGGATGTCTCTCCAGACACAGACACACCACTGGCTCAACCGCTTCTCTTGGAGCGGCGTGTTCGCCAGCCACAGCCAGCTGTCTCAGTTATTAAATCAAAGCTGAAAAAGGGTTTGACCTGCTCCGGACCAAAGGTCCGATCCACTCTGACAGGGTTCTTCCCTGTGGTGCGCTGGCTGCCAAAATACAAGCTCAAAGAATACATCTGGGGTGATTTGATGTCTGGTATGATTGTTGGTATCATTTTGGTACCGCAGGCCATTGCTTACTGCCTGTTAGCAGGAGTTCCACCCTTATATGGTCTGTACACATCATTTTATGCCAATATTATCTACTTTCTCATGGGAACATCTAGACACGTGTCAGTTGGGATCTTCAGCCTCATGAGCCTCATGGTTGGACAGGTAATAATCATTTGGTGTAGCCTATAAGTGCATAATGCACAGTAATTTATTTAGAAAAAAAAAATCTATCTATTAAAATCTGAATAGTGGCCAGTAAAGAATCGAGATCTATCAATACAGTATTTTAAGGTCGATGCTGATTCTTCTATATGTGCTTCAGATTTTTTGGGGTCTGATTTTGAAGCTCTCTATTTACAACATAAGAATGACACAATCAATTTAATTAATATATATTATTTAACAAATAAAACAAAATTAACAAGAGAAAGCAAATGGGAAATGCATGCACTTTTGTGATCTTAAAGCATGGATGGTGTTGATACTAGAAACAAATGCTTATATTCTGTCTCTACAGTACGTTTCCAGTGTTTCCAATATGCAGAGCTGTTTAGTCAGACTATTATTAAGTTGTTTTTTTGTGTGTGTGAAATATGATACTACTGTTTGGTTTGTGTAACCTTTAACACATAATGACTACTTGCTGTTAATGCTGTCCATCTAGACGGTGGTTAGGGAAGTTTTCCTGGCTGGATTTGATATGAGTGAGGACTCCACCCCATCTCCTCACGAAGCCTTTAATGACACCAACCAAACATTTAAACCTGAGCTCACCGTGGAGCTGATGGGTATGCAGTTAGGGAAGGATGACTACTCCATCAGCATTGCTGCTAGTGTTACATTCCTGGCTGGTGTCTATCAGGTAAATCATCTTTAAATACATAATCCAGCACCATAATCCTGTATACAAATAAATGTTTTTTTTCTACAGATATTCTTTATATACAGCAAAATAAAACAAATAAATGTAACACAAAAATACAGTGAAATTAATGTTTTTAAAAGGGAGTTTTTCCTCTCCACTGTCGCTACAAGCATGCTTAGTGTGAGTGATTCCATTCGAGTCAATGAGTCGATGCAATTAACTGGTTTTCCTTAAATATGATCTGGTGAACTGTAAAGGGCCTTGAGATGACATGTGTTGTGAGTTGGTGCTATAGAAATACACTGAAGTGAATTAAATTGTATCTTGTCAAAACCTGAGGTATTCACATTGAGTTAGTTTTACTGCAAACCCCATTTTTTATGAATTACTTTGATATCATTTATAAGAATTTCACAGTATGATACATTTCAGGGAAAATGCCACAGTTTGAATCTACTACACTTTTAACATACACCAACAAAACAATATATACATATATATATATATACATATATATATATATATATATATATATAGATAGAAAATTATTTGAAAGATAATTTATTATATTTGAAATACACTTTTAATTTTCAAGGGCTTAAAATATTTCATTGAAATTTAAATTATTTTTTCATTCCAAAAAGTGAAATTGGAAGTTACATTACAAAAACAATTTTTCTAAAAGATGGTGATGGCTATTGGCTGGAAGTATCATTCTGTAGGAAGGCTAAAGGCAGAAAAACTGAAAACTAATGTGTAGCTTCTGGACAAAGGAGAGAAGATGTTATAACAATAAATGTGAAAGTGTAAGCTTGGTTTAGTTGCCTTATTCTTTTACAGCATAATGATTTACATTTATGACTATGTTAGCAGTGCAGCCAATAGCCTATTACAGGTAAACATGCTAAATTGCTCCTCTACATCTCAAAAGATTGTTGGGTGCTTTATCTTACTTTTTCCAAATATATACTTTGTAAAATCTTTAGTTCTTTCATTTCTCAATCTTAAGCTTTAACGATTATTCAGATTAATCAGAATTTCTACTCTTACTGCCTTTTCTCTACCCTCTTTCTCCCCCAAACAGATTTTGATGGCTGTGTTTCGGCTCGGATTTGTCTCGGTCTACCTGTCGGCCCCCATGCTTGATGGATTTGCCACTGGAGCTTCTTTCACCATCCTGACAGTTCAGGCTAAATACTTGTTGGGTCTAAAGATTCCTCGTCATCAGGGCTATGGGACAGTAGTCGTTACCTGGTTCAACATCTTTGCCAACATTCACAAGACCAACCTGTGTGACCTCATCACAAGTGCCATATGCATCTCAATTTTAGGTTATTCGCCTTTATTTGCTTCTTAATCTATCAATTTAAGTCTATTAAATGTTTTTTTTAGCATTGTATAATATGATGTATTTTGTTATAGTGGCTGGGAAGGAGATTCAGGAGCGATACAAGGACCGTCTAAAGATCCCCTTACCTACAGAGCTCGTGGTTGTAGCAGGAGCTACACTTGCCAGCCACTTTGGGGAGTTTAACACCCGTTACCACTCCAGTGTTTCTGGTCACATTCCCACAGGATTTATTCCACCTCAGCTACCCGCATTCAGTATTATGCCACGATTGGCGCTGGATGCCATTCCTTTGGCAATTATTAGGTAATGTTTAACCATCCTAAAAGCATGTTTATGTAATTACATTAAAGTCTAGTTGTGTCTTTACCCTGTCTGAGAGAAAACATACTATACTTAGTGATTTAAGTGGAAAGATTTACAAACACAAATCCAGTCTTATAACCTAAATTTCATATTGCAGGAGTGCTAAAACATAGAATTACTGTTTATGTCAGACATATTAGGGCGTTGGAGAGAGTGAGGCAACACCAGTTTGAAGTCATATCTTTTAATTGATAATGTCTCCAATATACAGTGTTGCTAGGCATATCTTCCACCATTGAATTTCTCCAAAGAGGTTTAAATAAATGTGAGTCCACGATTTGCCTGAGTTCACCTACCAACAGCTACTTTTAGCCCAACACCTTTTTTCCATTGAACTCAATTGAATCTGAAAAATTTAATTGACGTACTTGAAAAGAAACATACGTTTGACATTTAATGGGATTTCTTGCAGTTTTGCATTCACCGTGTCGCTGTCTGAGATGTTCGCAAAGAAACACGGATATACCGTTCGTCCCAATCAAGAGATGGTGGCCATTGGACTCTGTAACGTCGTCCCGTCTTTTTTTCACTGTTTCACCACAAGTGCTGCTCTGGCAAAAACAATGGTGAAGGATTCGACTGGCTGCCAGACTCAGGTGAGTTTCAGACCATGAAAAATAGGGTCATGTGAATTTGTTTTGTTTTTGTATCGCAATAATGACCAGGCAAGGAAGACGGTTAAATGCAACTACACAGTTTACAGTTGAATGCAGTTATGGCTTGGATCAAAATTTAGAGTTTAGGGAAAAAACATTTAGTTCCCCTTTGTAATGGTGTTCTTGGGCCTAAATATTACCTTGTTTTCCAACAGATTCTATACTAGCCGGTATTGCCAAACACCTTAAATTTGGTTTAAATAGAGTACAAGACATACTTTGATGTTGGCAAAGTGAGTTCTTCCTCACAGAGTGGCTTTAGGTTCATGATAATTGATTCATTTCACCTCTTTTACCGACTTCCAGAGTCAATAAACACATTTCACAAAGATGTTAATGTCTGAATAAAACCTGTCTTTCTTTCTAAAACAATATCAAGGGGTGTAATTTTCATACTGCTCAAACTTTCATGTAAGCAGATAAACGTGGTGCATCTAGAAATTAGAAAGTAACAAATTCCTGGAAGTCCACATATTTGTTCCTAATGTCCGGACCAAGAGTTTTTCATAGCTGTAAAGTCTTGTGTTTTGGCCAGGAAAATAAAGTATTTTACCCCTCTTTCCCGCTGTCCTCCTCTATTAGCAGTCTTTTGTAAATTTTCTGTTTTATCAGAACATAAAACTATATATATAAAAAAAGTGATCTGCCTCTCCAAACAGAACTGTTGCTAGCATCGCAAGTCTCACAAATTCTGATCAACTCATTATAGTTTGCAATGGTCTGAAGAGTATTTCAGATTTCTTTTGCATCTTTCTTAAAATCTAATGGATACTGGAGCTCGACTGTGATAGTCAGAAGGCTCGCAAAGGATGTCGTAAAATGTTGTGTATTTTCAAAAACCTGACAGGCATGGAGTTTTATTTATTTTTTTTGGTAATTCAAAAATTTTTATAAGGATTTGATGTGAGGCAGAGAAAAAAATGGTTATTTGTCATTTCATTTAAAACGATAGACAATTGATCTCACATTGCGAAAACCCACCTATTAGAGATAGGAACTGTGCAATCTAGAAGAAATTAAGTAAATGTGTAAAACATGCAATAATATTAATAGAATAAAGGTAACTAGTACACGTAAACGTCATCTACAACTTATATCGGATTGAGTCACTGGGGCAGCAGTCTCAGCCGAGACTCCCAGCCTAAAGCTTTTCAGGGGCAGCCAAGAGACAAAGTACCTCCAACTTGTCCTGGGCTGTCCCCAGGGCCTCCTCCCACTAGGATATGCCTGTAAAACTCTTAAGTTAGGCTTCCAGTGGAGTATAAAAATGTATGTACAATCCACCTTAATGGACTCCCCTCAATGTGGCGGAGTCCGGAAGAGGATCAGTTCTACTCTGATCCTCTCCTGGATGGCTGAGCTCCTAAGGGACTTCTGGGCCACCCTGCAGAGTAAGTTGATTTTAGGCACTTGTATCTGGGATCTTGTTCTCTCTGTTATTTTTCAGATTTCATTACCATAGGTGAGGGTAGGAATATAGTCCAACCACTACATCAAGAGCTTTGCCTTTTGGCTTAGCTCTCATTTCACCACAACAGACTTGTTTGGCATCTACGACATGGTGGCAGCTGCAAGACTCTAGTGACTTCTTGCTCCACTCTCCCCTTAGTCATGAAAAGGACCCCAACATAACTGGCCTCCTTCATTTGAGGCAGTAACTCTCCCCTGACCTTGAGAGAGCAAGCCACTTTTTTCCAATCAAGAACTATGGACTCAGACCCAGAGGAGCTTCATTCAGGTCCCTTCGCATTCAGCTATAAACCGCCGCAGCACATTATGTAGGTCCTGGCAGGAGAAAGCCAACAGAGGAAGCAATACAAAATCTGCTGGTTCTCAAACCAGACAACCTCCAGTACTTATTTATGCCCAGAAATTAAGTCAATAAAAGTTATAAACAGGACCAGTGACTGAGAGCAGCCTTGCTAGACTCCAGTATGCACTGGGAATAGGTTCAACTTCATGCTAGCAATGTGGACTAAACTCCTGCTCTGCTTGAACAGTTAACACATTAACACATTTATGATACATGATATTTTTATTTCCACAATCAAAGAATTTATTGCAATCGTATGTTGTTTGCAGCTCTGGTTTCAAATAAAAAATCATGTTTTGCTTTGGAATTGATAAAAAAACAGAAATGTTCCTCAGCAATTGTCCGGCAAGTGTCATACATTGCACTGTAATATTGCAACTCTACTTTCATAGCAAAAAGAAAATAATTTTTTATCTTTTTTTCGATATATTTTTTGATATATTTTGCCTTTTCAGGTATCAAGTTTGATCAGTGCCCTTGTGGTCCTTCTGGTGCTCCTCTTCTTTGCCCCATACTTCCAAGCACTTCAGAAATGTGTCCTTGCCTGCATCATCATTGTAAGTCTTCGGGGAGCCCTGAGGAAGTTCAGGGATGTCCCAGCAAAGTGGCGAGCCAGCCGAATGGACGCCATTGTTTGGCTGGTTGCCATGTCCGCCACAGCTCTGATCAGTGTGGAGCTGGGATTACTTGTTGGCGTTATCTTTTCAATGTGCTGCGTCATCTATAAAACCCAGAACCCAAAGGTTAGTAAGCTGACCCTACAATATGGTTCTTGGGTTCCAATTCTAAAGGGTTGGTATTCTGGAACCATAATATGTTTCTGCTCAAATACATCTTAATCAAATTAACACTTTTACATTTGCATACTGTAACTGCTATTATGTTGTATTTTGTTTCAGGTCTCTCTCCTTGGCCAGGTCAATGACAATGATCTGTATGAGGATATTGAGGAGTACAAGAATCTCAAAATGCCATCTCGGGTTAAAATCTTCCGTTTCCAGGCTCCTCTATACTATGCCAATAAGAACTCTTTCCTGAAATCCCTCTATAAAGCTGTGGGAGTTGAACCTTTCTTGGAACTGACTAAGAGAAAAAAGGCTGAGAAAAAGGACAGAGATAACTCCAAAAAGCAAGCTAAGACAAATGGGGAGAAACCCAACTTTGATGTCTTTGTAGGGCTTGTCCAAAAAGAGTTGGAGTTTCACACAATAGTCTTAGACTGCTCAGCAATCCCTTTCATTGACTCAACAGGCATGGGCACTTTTAAAGCTCTAGTTAAAGAGTATAAAGAGATCGGTGTAAGTGTGCTCTTTGCATGCTGCAACACCTCAATCATTGATGTTCTCCAGAAGGGAGAGTGCTTTGGGAAGAATAACAAAGACATAAGCAGTCTGTTGTTTTATACAGTTCATGCCGCTGTTCTTCATGCAAACAGGGCAGCAGAGGAAAGCAAGGCTGAGGACTCTGTGGTGTAAAATAACAGGATAAACCTTTCCCCCCTTTTATATTAAGGCTTACAAATAATTGTAAGCCATGACAAGGATGTATTAGGTAACTTTGAAAGTACACCCAAGAAACCTTGTCCATGAAACATAGAGGGACCAAGAGTAGGAACAGAGTGGAGAATGTATAAGAATTTATAGATATAGTAATTTTTTTGTTTGTTTTATACCGTGGAGTAATAATATTAATTGGTTTTTGGAGCATTTTGAAGGTCCAAAAGGCTGGTTTGTGAAGCCAGCAAACACATATCAAAGTGAAAAATTAATTTCACTTCTTTAAATGTAAAATTCATGTCTTGGACGGAAAAACACCAATAGGAATCAAATCTATCAATGTGTTTCAGTTCATAAGGTTTCAACACTTGCGCTCTGTTTTTGTACATTGTCACAGATTTTAATGTATTACCTATTTAATGGACTAAGCCAGTGGTGGTCTATTTTGTAGCTTTCACCCACAGACCCTCCTCCCTTCCTTTCTGTGCAAGAGAAAGGAAAGGAGCTAAAAGAAAACTAAACACACCAGAGGCTTTATACCCCAGAGAGTGCCTAGGTAATATTTTAGCTGTGAATTGATGTGTTCATCGTTTATATGATGTTGGTCTAGAGGTAGTTTCTAATTGCTTTAGGAAACATAAAAAAAAAGCTTTAAAACAGATCCACCGTTCAACACCCTGCAAAAGGTGTTGAAGGGTAGTTTTTCCAACAATTCTTAGGAAAGTTCTTTAAGTAGGCATGAGCGTTTTCATTATGGATTGTTATGTTTTCATAAACAGCGGTGTAAATATAAAAGCTATTTAGAGTGAAAATACCAAGTCAATATAGGCTTTACTCCACATGTTCAGAGTCCAGACTTGTAATTTACCCTTTCCTGATGTGCTAACTGCCACCTATAAATCATTTGTAAAAGGCTGGTTAAACTCTTCCTGACTATCGGAAGAGGTCAGGAAGAGAAATTTTTACGTGACAAACAAGGACTTTGCTCGTTCTGAGTGAACCCTGCCTTTAGGAAATGGGTCACTGGAGTGCGCTTGTGCTCTTGTCCTGTTCTGAACAGTCAGCTGGAGCTATATAAAAGGGTTCAAGTATTTGATCTCATGGTGCTTTTCAAATGTTTTCTTAAGTTTCTAACTGGAGAGTGCACGGACAGCTGGTGATATCTCACATCATTTGTAGGATCTTTTTATTTTCTTTCTTTAATTCAAAACTTTTGTACCTAGAGAAATAAGCTCAAATCATTGGTTTAAACTGTTGTTTCATATTATCCTTATCCCCTTGAGACCAAGACTGATTATATGTCTAACAGTGCAATGTGAAAAGCCTTTGATGTGATGTAATAAAAACATGATTGAAAATATGAGCCACATTACTTTTTATATCGAGCAAACAGTCAACTATAATCTATAAATTTATTTAAGGAACCACTGTGATTATATTTTTAGACATTTTAGAAGGTATAATTTAAAACTTTTTCAATAAAGCCAATTAGAATTGAGAAAAATGTAATAATTGGTGGTTAAATTAAAATGAGTCTTAAGTGAAACAAGTGTGTGCAGTTTCTTTCATTCATGATTTCAGTTGTCACCTGCGCAGGTTTTATGTTGTTTTCTGCTAATGAATGAATGAATAAAATAGAATAAAATAAAAATTTAGTTTTGATAATAAAGGTATTTTGATGCAAAGAATCAGTATGTTTTACCGTAGTTTGAATCCAATGTAAGTGTTTTCAGTTGTGAATATAGCATGTTCGAAAGTAAAAAAAAAACAACAACAGTAGAGTCCATTTGGTCATGAACGTCCTTTTTTTGCAATTTCAGAATTTTTCCGTGGACATTTTTTCAAAACCATTATTATCTGCTAACCCAAAAGAAGAAAAATACCAGCAGATCAAACGATCCTAAAACACTTAGAACAATCTATTTAACAGTCAGTCAAATTACACTTAGAGTAACTAGAATCCATTTTTTATCCATTTTGGTGCTCAACTTAAAATGATCCTGTAGTTTGTTACCATGTAATTTGGCTAATTTACAACACTTGTGTTAATTCCTTTGGGGCTTTAGCTTCCCTGGGGCTTTAGATAGGGGGTGGGTTTAACACCTAGGGCATCAGCAGGGGGTGGCAGGCAGAGATCCCTGTCATCACTCCACCACCAAGAGATGTTGAGGTTAAAGGAGCGAAATGTCCACAACTGGTGGTCCCCAGCTGATGACCTAGGGGTGTACAAGGCACATTTGTTCAAGGCACTGGTGGAGGTGTGTCAGGCAGCAATGCCCAGCAGGTAGAACATCACCATTTCTTTTCAATTATATCTTTTTTCTTTATTAATTCTACTATAGCCTATACATAAAACAAGAAAAATGTTAAAGGAGGCGAAATGTAGTTTATTCTGAACACCCTTGTGATTACATTTTTTTAAAGAAAAAAAAGTACTTTAATTAATAATTGCAAAAAAATTTAATTGAACTCCGAGTTTCCAAGAAATCAACAAAATGGCCACAAGAGAGTGCTTGTGTAGGACCAGAAAGAGGATAGGATAAAAATAATAAGAATTTTGCTTCATTCAGTCTCCTGTCCAGGCATGAAAACAGTCAAGTACAAGAATGGTCATGGAAACACTAGAAAAACAGGCTGAGTAGTGTGAAGCCAGCCTGACCAGAGGCAGTGGAAAGAAGAGAAATGTATCAGCCATATAGTTTATGTTCATCAGATCAACTGTCTGAAAGAAAAAGGTGGAAGTAGAGAGACTATTTAATGTTTTTTCCTTGTTAGAGGTGTGATTGTGTGTTGACACCATATGTGCTTCATCCCTTAAATTATACCTGAATGATTCACGGGTTAGAATGAGGTGACTTAAGAAACATAAAGCTATTATTCTGAAAATGTCAGGGTATTGTGCTGAAAAGAGTTAAAGAAAATGACAAAGCCAAAAAACATAATAATGATAAGTTGAAAGACCAGAGGAACTGTTGCTTAAGTCCACTTATTAAAGGATTATAGGAAAGTCTGACTCCTTGGAAGAAAAAATCTACAGACTTCTGCACAAGGGCCTACAGCACACTGACTAAGATATTACTTTTAATAGAAACAAATCAAAAAGAATAAGTACATCTTTCTAAATATAGATTTTAGCATATTACAAATTGTAATAAAAAAATTATTATTATTAGGAGGGAAATACTATGCATTCACTACTTTTCCAAGAATTGTTTAAAAGCCGTCTGTTGTGCACTAGTAACCATTAGGCTCTGAGGCCAAACACAGTCAGTAACATCTTAATCCAACCTTACCATCATACTTTCAAATGCTGAAGTCATGTCTGCAGCAGGTAAATCCCTCTAACTACTACATTCCCTGACTGCAAACCGAAAGGTAGGATAAAAATAATTAAATCATTCAAAAAAGAAACAAGACACACGTCTACGCTGATACGCATGTATACAGGTACAATGTAAAAGACTCTTCTTTTAACATTTAAATGTAAATGTGTGAAGACAGCTGCCTGTGCACCTGCTAAATAGTGCAGAGTGAGCCCAAACAGGATGATTACCCTGCTCTGAATTGCACACCCACTAATATTTGGAGGAGTTTAGCAAATAATAAAATAACTATTGAAAGTCTGCATTAAATTTGGTCTGTTAATATTTTACTAAATGAATCAAATATTTCTCTTCCTGACCAATTAAGATAATTTCTGTTTTTCAAAACACATCTCTGGTGAAAAAAAATGGTAATATGTTGAGGATTTCCTTCAATTCCCCTGGCCCACTTCCAGATGTTTGATCGAGCTAAAATTTTGCATGTGAAGTATTTTAAATCTTTATAGATTAAGTAGCAAATTACAGCTCTGAACTAATTGTGGTTTCTGATTTACTGGTGTTAAAACAGAGTCAAGTCTGAGTTTTTGCATTTGAAAGGACGCACTCAACTGGAGACTTTTGGTCAAATGAAAGTAACTTATATCGATAATGTCCCATTGTGAAACATTTTGTAAGGTCATATATCACAGGCATCGTCTCAATAAGTTGCTTTAATTTCATTAAAAGTCTCCCGTGGTGTGAGTCCTTTCCAATAGAAAAACTGTATCACTGCTTGACACTCAACAGGCTCCATTCCAGACTTTACTCAGTTCAAACACCTGTAAGTCAGAAACCCCAAATAATTCAGAGCTGTAATTTGCTACTTAATCTATAGAGGTTTAAATAACGTCACATACAAAATTTCAGCTCGGTCTAACATCTGGAAGTGGGTCAGGGGATTTACTTATTGAACGCCACGTATGTATATATCTAGGTTGCAGGTTGTGGTTGTTTGACCCATCGTCTTAGTTATTGTCTTTGGGACAAAATTTAAAGAACCTGGTTTTAAGTACGGTCCACGCTTCTTCATGTTTATCTTTAAAATGATTCTGTGTGTTTTGTTTCAATCTCTGATGCAGATATTAACTATTTATAGTTCCAACCATGTGTAGTTTGAATGACCTAAAATGTCCTGCTCAGACAGTTGTATCCAAACACCTCCCTTAAGCCGCTAATGAACTGGAAACTGCAGAAACACCAGGGTCACTGTTTAAGATTATGCAAACTTTACAAATGGACATAAACATAAAAAAAGTCCCTCTAATATGGAAGTTTCTACAGAAACTTGTTATGGCCAGAGAACAGGTTCAGGGTATGTTACTGCAAACTGTAAAGCAAAATGCTAGACACATCATGCTGTGGGGTTGCCCCATTGCATTGCCCAAAGTTGTTTATTTACACCTAAAGTCCAAAACTGGGTGGTAGAAATCTGGACACAATCCCGTACTTAGAAAAAACACACAAAAATTGGTTTAGGATGTGGAAAATCAGGGGAACACTAAATGTATAATCAATCAAAAGCTCCATTGTGGACGTGGACCTTAGTGAAAATGTGTGAATGATACAATCAATAAATAGGAACTAGTTTATTACTGACAATGAGAGGGGTGGTCAAATGGCCAGAAATATTTGAGGATCTCAGTGATAGCTGCAAAAAATATAAAAGATAAATATTTTTTTTATTGTCAATAGACTGTCACAAATACAGAGCAATGAAATAAATAAATAATTGAATAAATAATTTAACTTTATTGATCTCACACTGGAGAACTTCTGCATTTAACCCATCCCCTTGGGGAGCTGTGGGCTGCCATTGTACGGTGCCAAGGGGAGTAGTGTGGGGTTAAGGGTCTGTGGGATGCCCCAACCACTGGGCCGGCACCTGCCTAAATGTAATAAACTAATAATCCATTATTTCACTGGCAAATCTTTATCTAAAATGAGAAG